AAGCGTGAGCGGTTACATATTAGTTCAGGATTTATCAAAGTACAACATTTGCTTAAAATAACAGGGAGGCCGAGCGAAAGAGAGAGAGAGAGCATGGGGGGGAGGAGGCTTACTCGCTTAAATCCGTATCTCCTTCGCTAGCACTGAGGCAGAGCGAGTAGCTGTCGGTTGCGGTGCTTTCGGGCTCAAGTTTGACTGCCAAGCGCTACGGCTTTGTGTTATCTACAGCAGCTCTCTCCCTCTCTCTCTTCCCCCTCTCTCCCTCTGTGTTTCCGCGCTCGAGGGGCTTTTGCCAAAGAGGAGACATAGCAGTGCAGTCTCGTCTCTGGCACAGATATTAGCGCTGGAAAGCGCCGCAACGCGGAGAGGTACGACGACGATAATATTCGGGTTATTGGGCGTATCGCTGCGGCCGGCCGCGAGAGTAATCGATGGCCAAATTAGTGCGGCCAGCCAGCGCCGCGCATAGCCACAGTAAATTAATTAGCCGAGGATGAGGATCGATCGCCGGCAGCGGCGGCGGCGACGGCGGTAGCAAGCAGCCCGCTAATCACGTATATACAAGAGACATTGCTCCGGCAGCACCGTTGTGCGATGCGTCTCATTCTCGCGCTCTCTCACTCTCTTGCGTCACCGCACTCGCACTGTGAGCTCGAGCGAGAGACCGAGATCCGAAAACTGCGGCGAATAACAGTCGGGCTCCGCGATAAATTGGCGAGCAAAGCGGCCGAGCCTTTAATAATTGCAAGTGCAATTCGCAGCAGGATGGCATTCCGCGCGCGCGATAAACCCGACCACGAGATTAATCTAGCGACTATTCCCCCCGTTTTCCGTGTAAAACTTTTGACAACGCGCGGCGCTCCACTGCCGCGCGACTTTCGCTAATCGCGTTGCGCTCCGAGACGCTGTTCTTGCGTACGAGCGGCCTCGGCTAAGAAGCTCGCGCAACACGCGATTCCGCGCGCGTCACAGTCCTCGTCATTAGCTAGCTCGCAGCCTCTCGACGATTGCGCGCTTGCCTTCCTCGGCCGTGCTCGAGCGTCTTCGGACCAGCTGCTCCGCGGAGGTACGACCAGTTTTTGCATCTACGCTGGCCGCGTGCGTGGGCGTCCTCCTGGGAAATGAACTTGCGCGGAGTGCATGAGTTTTGGCCGTCGGAGCCATGCGGGAAGCTCTCGCTGTTTCTGCTTGGACGCTTATCGGACAAGCCTCGACGGTAAGCGACGAGGGCAAACGACAAGTTTTGCGAAAGATCGTCGGTGGAGCGAGGCCACGAGGATCGGCGCGGCGCCGATCTGGATGCTCGGAGCAGGGGGGGGGGGAGTATCGAGGCTCGCACGAGTGCCAGCCATTAGGCGGTTTTTTGCGAACGGGACGGCAGCGCGATGGCAAGGAGAGGGGCCGAGAGACAGGCCTCGCGGCGAGTCGAGTTCAACGACTCGGCGGAGGTAAGAAGCTCCCTGGCGAGCGCGCAGATGTATCCAGTTTCGCCGGCTCTGGCCTTTTTAGCTTAGCCGGCGCTGCTGCTCTCGCGCTTAGCCTTTAAAAGGCTGCACAATGCGTGCCAGGATATCTGGCGCAACGCGAGCCGTCCCTGGCTCGGCGAATCCCGTCGACTCGATTGACGCCGATGAGGAAAGCGCCTCTTCGCTCGGCTGTCGAGCTGATTGTGATTAATTAGCCGCTCGGGAGCAGCAGCGAGCCGATCGCTTTTTTCTTTCCCTTTTTTTTTTTCGGAGCATTGAAAATCCGAGAACGTGGAACACCTGCAGCAGCGCCGTGGCGGCACTGTGGCCTCACGGCTGCGTAGAAATTCCGTAATTTATGGCCGCTCGCGCTCGCGCGCATTCATGCAATATTGATGTCGCTCGGTCGCTCGCGTTAGCCTTATTCATGGGCTGCACCGTGCCGCCGCCGCGAGAGCCATCAGCTGCAGCGCCGACGCCGCGGCGTGCTCGGTTTTTCCTCGGCGCCGCAGCCTCGATCGCCCGCGAGCGTTATCCGCGCTTCGCGTTGCTCGCCGCGAGCCAGGCGACGAGCTTTTGCGCGCGGCCACGGATCCCGCGCCCGAGCGTCGCGCGAATTTCCCAACTCGATTTTTCAATTTTCGACGGGACAGCCCGGCTCCTCGAGGCCGCGAGCTGGCCCCATTGGAAATGACGATGCCGCGGCCCGACGCCACTGCGTATGTTAATGGGCAAAGTTCGCCCCAGGCGCGGGCTGCAACTCGACTTTCGCGCGACAAACTCGGAGCTAATTTTTCGAGAAGCTCGGCGAGCGGCCGGGGCGACGAGCAGCGGTGCGTGCCACGCACGAGGAGAGACGTCGGCTCGCGTGCGCCGGAGCCATAAGGGGCAGCGATTCAGCGATTTATCGGACGGGCGCATCTCCGCGCGCGCGAGCTTGCACCGAGCTGAGATAAGCGCTCGGCAACGCCGATAAGCCGAGCCAAATTTTCGATTCGCCGGCGCCGACGAGCCGCCGCGGAGCAGGCTAGTTGATCGCCGGCGCGGCCGCCCGCAGTCGCGGGCAGCCGTCGGATCGACGCGGGTGCCGACGCGGGTGCCGACGCGGGCGCCGACGCGGATGCCGACGCGCGAGAGCGCAGCCCGGGCAGCCTGTCCCACAATTCCCGATGCAGAGAGGCGCGGCGCAAGCGAATCACACCGAGCCAGCCCTGCTCGACCTCGTAAATCCCTCCTCATTAAGAGCAGCTTTAACTGCGAGCTAAAGCACAAAGAGCAATATAGCAGTGGCAGCGGGTACGGCGCCGACCGCGCTCACGATGATGAATGCTCGGCCGCTCGCGAGGACGAAAACCAGGTCGAACAGATAGTTGGAGGAGCCGCAATCACACGCTGGTGGCCGCGCGCACGGAGCGCCGGTTATGGGTGAGCGCGCGCGGCTAAAAATGCAAAGGCAAGAATAAGAGTGATCCGGCGCGCCAGAGGGGGTGGGCACCGCTTGGTACCAGCCGGCGGAGCTCGCAAGCTCGCGTGACCCACTGATTCATCGCCGCGCTGCCAACTGTCTCTGCTCGCCCCGGCAACTTTTAATTGCACGCGACGCCAATTTTGTTGTGCACTTGTTCCACCGCTCGCCCGGCCCCGCCGTTTCTTCCGTTCTTTTCTCCTCGACGCCTGGGATATCACCTGCAGGCGCGAGATAGTCGGTTTACGAGCGGAGCCGCACAAAGGCCCGTGGAGCGCCGCATTCCGAGCAGGCGGAGAGCCGGCGCGCCAGTCGGCCGGCCGGCCGATAAGAAAACGCACGCCAGCGGAATGGCACTTTAAAAGGGGGCTCCGCCGTGCGAGCGCGGCCCGCGTGGGTGTCGGCCGTGCGAGCGCGATAACGCCGGCCCCCGCGCCCCGCGCACCCGACGACGACGCGCTCGCCTCTCGCCTCCTCGGAGACTCGCGCTGTCGCGCTTTCCTCGGGGCTCCTCCGTGCGTTGGCCCCGCCTTTGTGGCCTGGGCTCGCCCCCTTCGCCATCGTTACTTGATTGACCGCCGGCGGGGGCCAGTCGACGCGCGGCTGGTCCACGCCACGGGCAGCCAACGCGATGACGAATTCAGCGGCGGCCGCCGGATGAATCGCCGGCGGGCGGCCGAGCGTGCCGGCTGATAAATCGGCCGTCCGGCCTGCCTGCCCTTGTCCGGAGGCCGGGCCCGCGTCAAATAATCATCTCGCGCGCGCGCGCGCCGAGTATCATCGATACTCGCCGACTCGCACTGCGCTTGGCCGAGCACGAGCAGCGCGAAGATCTCTCCGGCGCCGTCAGCTGCAGATTGAAGCCTCGAAGGTTCGCTGAAAAATTCATAAAGTCGCCCCCTCCGACCCCTCCCTCCGCTCTCGCTCCGCCCGATGAGACTCGGGAGCTTCCTCTTCCTCTTTCCCGGCGTCTTGAGAATTTCATGAGAAAGGAGAACGAATGCGACGGATGACGCGTCCGCAATCCTCCGCGGCGTATCCTAGTTGGCACAGCGAGCAGGTCTGCAAATAAGGAGGCTATTCTCGCGTCTGCTGCTGCTCCAAGTGCATTGCCGCGGATTTCCTCGGCGAAGCGCGCGCTGCCTGCTGCACCGCCGATCGATTCGACCGAATTCGGCCCGACCGAGCTCCCAACTCGACCGAAGCGGTCCAGCCGCGGTCGGCCGCGAGCTCCGCTCTGCGTGCGCGGAGCCGACTCTCCTCACTCTCGCGGTAACAGTCGAGCCGAACGGTACAGCGCGCGGTCGTCGGCGCAGAACCGTTGATCGCGTCCCCGATACACTCTGACCCACGTACTCGGGCCGTGCATGCGCGAGCGTGACGTAGCCCCCACAGCTCGCGCGCTGCCTCTCGGATGCATGGAATTTTACAACAGACGCCGGCGCGCGGCTGTCGCGCGCGCGACCGCCTCGTCCTCCTCGGCTCGCGCTCGATCTCTTTTTCAAGAGCTCGCGCAACGAGCCCATGAAAATTCATGGCAAACTCGTTCGGCCCACTTCGAATCAGCCGCGATGAATAAATCTGCGCGCGCCGAGGAGACGAGCAGCCCGCAAAACAATCGCCTCGCCCGAGTTAATTAGCGCGGCCCTCGGAAGCGCGATTATGGCACCTTGCGCGCGCTCCGCATCGGGGGAACAATCGACGCTCCGGCAGAAGCGCCCCTCCGTTCGGCCCGCGAGCAGCGCCGCCGAGGCGCCTTCGGCTAATTGAAATTTTATCCAAGGCGAAATTGGACGCCGACTGCGACCGTTTTTCCAGCTCGGGCGGCTAATAGGCTCCGCCGTCGCCGCACCGAGTCAACCAATCTGCGTGCCTCGCGGAAAAATGAAAAATTGACGAGAGCGCAAGTTTTAATTTAAAGTTGGCGCTGGCAACCGGATCAGTCGGCCGGCCACTAGAGCGCAAAATTTAAATTTGCTCGGCGCGCCGCCGCCACCGCCGCCTCGCTATGCTGCTCTTCTCTCTCTCTCTCTCTCTCTCTGAAGCTGGGTCTTCGTTTTATGTTGCAGGCGAGGTGATCGGCCAGCGCTTCCTCGGCAACGAGAGCCACGTCGAGCACTTCAAACTCCTCGAGCGCTCCTCCACTTTCGTCCTGATTGGCGCAAGGTAATGTATATACAGAGGGGCGCGCGCTTTGCCGCCTCTTGTCTAGTACCCCATCAGGCCGTCCAGCGGCCCGCGCAGCCCACAATCGATTTGCGGAGCGCTGATTTGCTCGGGAACTCGACGCTCGCGAGCGATCGACACCGCTGCCGCGACTCGCGAGTCGATGACTCAATTGGGCTCTGGAATCAGCCCGTTCGCAGCGAGAAACCGGCTCGCAAATGAGTCTTCGACGAAAGGCCAACGACTAACGGGGGGATCCGCGCAATCTGGCCATCGGACGGTGAAAGCCAAGTTGGCCCGCGCCGAAGAGCGCGTGCGCCGCCGAGTTGTCGATCGACGAGCTCGCCGCCCAGCAGCCTGCACACGTCCATTATCGGCGCATTAAATCGCGCGCCCGACGCGGACGATTGACGGGGCAAGGAGGAGGGGGCACCCCGCACTTGTTGCTCGCTTCCACGGCACTTTGCTCGCCGCCGCGCCGTGACTGTTAACGCGATCGGGCCAGCGGCAAAAATCGCCGGCGCAATCCAATCAAGCAAGACGCGCAGCGCCGAGCGAAAAGGCGCGCCGGCCCGGACAAACGGAATTAGGCTAATTGTCGTCGCGTCGCCCAAAGCTGATGGACTGCTCGGCTGGATAACCTCGTCTCGGACCGCGAATCGAGCGCGTGGACCTCGCCGCGTCCAGACCGTCGGCATTTCGGTCGCGCCCGCGCCGAACTTGTCGTTCCTCGTGTTCGCCGCGTCGGTTCGGTCCAACTCCTCAAAGATACCTACGTTCAAATCGAGAATTGCAAGCGCATAAGTCGCAATGCACTTTGCTCGTCATATCGTATGCAGACGTGCTTTCAAATCAGGTTACAGTTCGCTCGTTTCAATCCAGGTGATTTTAACAAGTAGGCGACCTACGTTGTAAATAAATTGAGAGCTGTAACCTAATTTCAATTTATTTTTATGCAAATAATTAGCAATGCACGCTGTAGCTGTCGCATTAAATTTTTTACTAATTATTAATTTAACTTAGCTTCTCCCGGTGCAACTGAGCTCATTACGTCTGTCGCGAATTTCGAATCGCGGAATATAGTGAGGTCGAGCTTGCAGTGGCGGAATGAGCCATGTAGTTTTTGTCTACGCGCGCGGTTTACAAAGCGACATTGTGCACGGGCGGAGCTGGCGCCGACGAGCCCGTAAACAGTTGTGGCAAGTTCCGCCTTGGCAAGCGCGCGTATAGTCGGTCGTCCCTTTGAAAATTTGAGAAAGAAAGACGGAGAGACTGGCATCGCGAACGATGATTTTCGGGCGAAAGGCTCCGGCGTGTGGCGTCGAGTACATTCAGCAGAACAGAAGTCGACGGCGGCGGGCGCGCTGGCTGCCGCTCCTCGCCGCGGCGAAACGATGAATTGCCGCGGGCGCTTATCGAAGAAAGCGCGTGGCGGCGACGGCGGCAAGTGCGCCATGAAAATTTACGTCCCGGCATTCGCAGCGGCTGCTCGCAGCGAGATACGTTTATGAGGGCGGCGGTGCCGGCAGCTGCGCGTATTATTCTCGGCCGACTGCTGCTGCCGGCGGATCCTGCGCGCGGAATCGGCGCACTCGTCGCCGCGCTGCGCCGTCTCTCGACCCGCTCGGGCCGATTCGCGATTGCCTCTTCCTTCGCCGGTGCGCGTACGCCCCGCAGGGGCAGTCGGCGACCGCTGGCCTCCTCGGGGAGCGCTGCTTGCATCGCGCGCCGCGGTCCGCCGCCCGTGTACGCGTAATCGGCAAAGTTATGTGCCGCTGGCGGGCGCATGTACAAATGCCCCGGCGGCTCGGTGTACACGCCATTAGACGGCTCGTTATCGCGTAAATTTGCGCCCCAAGCCCGCCGCGCGAGCCGAGCTCGGAGCGCCGCCCCCCCTCCTAAGTGAGTTATATTCGGCCCGCGTGACGAGGCCAAGTGCTCCGCCCGGGCTTTTTCTCCGCGGCGCGCCCAATTGCGGCTGCAAACGCGACGAGATCTACGGACGGCTATTGGCTTGGTGTCGATGTTGCCCGGCACGTTTACCTCGCGCATTACGCGGATTTATGGAATGGTCCTGTGGCCGCGATAGCCGCCTCTTTCCCCCCTCCCGGGCCGCCACTGTGGATCGTAATCCAGATAGCCGCGCGAGCGAATTTTTGCGCGACTCGACAAGGGCTCGAGCCGATAAGGCAGCGCGCCGTCGATCGGCGCGCCCGAGCGGCGGGGTGGCGGGGCGGCGGGGCGGCGAATCAACATAGGGCTTTTGTTGGCAATTAGGTAGGTTTGTTTGTTTGCCGTTACAGGCCACCGGCGCGGCCGCGCGATTAAGCCTATACATCCGCGACGGCGCTTTTATTAATTACGCCGAGCGCGCGAGCAGCGTTATCGCGTGTTTCAGCGCTGTCGCGTGATGAGGAGTCGCGTTTGCAAATTCATGCGGGCGCCCCCGGGCCGCCCCGGCCGCCGCTAATCCCCGCTGGCGTCGCTCACGCCACGCGCCCGCTCTCCGCCGCCTCTCTCTCAATTGTCGCGCTCTCTTTGCCTGTTGCAGGAACGCCATCTACAACGTGAGCCTGCACGACCTCACGGAAATCCCGGATCAGGTGAGTCTGTAATCCACTTGCGTTGGCTTGGGCGCGCGCCGCCGTGCCCAGCCGACTCGTTTCTTTTTCAATTAGAGATAAGCTGCCTAATTGCGGGCTGCCTCTCCGCCGACCAACTGGTCGTGCGGCCCGCCGAGGCTGATTGCGGCCGAGCGCGCTATGAGACTTGCAATCACGGCAATTAATGATTCCTCGCTTGGCATATGACACTCGGCCCGCCCTGACAAAGTGCCCGGTCTTTCCCCTTCCCTCTCCCCGCCCGACCTCGCCCTTCGCTCCCAAAGCGCCTTGCGAGCGTTTTGTGGGTCGGCAAAGTTTGGCGTTTGATAGCGCTACGTACTGCGCGATACACGCTTTCTAAATTGTAGTTATTATCGCGCGCCGACTGAAGGGAGCAGAGCCTCGAGTTTTGCGCCGCAGCGCCAAGCCAAAGTCGGCGAGGAAGTTGGCTGCTGCGAGTTCGCTAATCAAAGTTTAAAGTCAGCGCGCGGCAACTCTGCCGCTCGCTCGCTTGTTTTCTTTTTTTCTTCCCTTCTGCCTCTCCTTCTCCTTCTTCTTCTTCTTCTTCTTCTTCTTCTTCTTCTTCTTCTTCTTCTTCTTCTTCTTCTTCTTGCTCCTGGCGACTCCAGCAAAACTCCAAAAGGCCCGTGCAGCTGGAAGCCGAGCAGAGCTGTGCGCGGGAGATGCGGATGCGCGTGCCGTAGCTTTGCTTTCAATGGACTCGGCACTGGAGGACGATATTCCCTCTCTGGCGGATAATGAGTGCTTTTTTATTGCGCCGCGCGGCAAGTCGTTAAGCCTCTCTCGCTCCCTCTCTCTGCTCGTCTTATTAAAGGGAGCGTCTGGTCTCTGGCTCTCGCTGGACTTTTTACGGCACAATAAGTCCGCTTTTCCATCTTTTTCCGCGTTTAACGGTCTCTCGGCGCGCCGCCTAGAGCGCTCCCCGTCTCTCTTTTTACGGCCTGTTTATTATTTTTAACGGATACCGATAAAACGACAATGCCCTTTGTCCGATTTATCGGCCGTCGAGTAATTGGATGGCCGCGCGCCGCAGCCTGCGAGCCGCGATCTCTTCCAGTTTGATTATCCTCGCGGCCCAATAAAACAAACTCACTGGCTAAATTGGCCATTATGCAGCTACCGAAATCAGCCCTCTAGATGTGGCCGTTAATTGGCTGCGACGCGGACGGAATAAGCCGAATTAACGCTGCCAAAGCTCCGCTAATTCGCTAACAACGCCGCGCATCAGCAGCCTCATAGCGGATATTAGCGCGACTAATCCCTGCCAAGTTTTTTCCTCGTCAAGTTGGCTCGTGCGCAGCTGGGGCTGCTATCGACCTACGGCCAGGCCCGCGGCCACGCGCCGCCAGACTACTCGGGGACGACTCGCTCCTCCCTCTCCCCGCTGAGCCGGCTTTCACGGCCGAGTCATCGTCTCCTGATGGTGCTGCCGAAGGACTCGAGTTAACAACTTCCTAGGCTTACCACCCTGCCGAGGCAACGACTTGGCCGCCCCAATTTTCGCAAGACCTGCTGGCGTTCTCGGTCGCGAACCGAGTGCCGCACTCGGTAGCCACGCGCTAGACGCAGCCCCCCCCCCCCCCCCAACGGTACGCGCGTCTATCGGATTTTACCGTGCTCCCCTCCGGTGGCTCCCTTCCTTCTATCGCGGTGGCCGCGATGATAAATCGAGGGACCGATTACGCAAAACGCGCCCTGTTCGCGTGTTGCGCGAGAATGCCGGGCCGAGTGATGTACGAGCGTCCGTTTTTTTCTGTTTTTTTTTTTTTTTTTTTGAAAAATGATCCCTCGGTCGCGTAGATGCCGTTTGGCCGCAAAATAATTAGTAGCGCGATATCGGATATCGCGACGAAATCCGCTAGAGCCTGCATTACAATGGCGCGCGCCCGACGCGGATCGGCTGGATCTAATAGTTAGCCGTAAATACGAAGTCATCGGTCGATCCCTAAAGCCCGCAGCGGCGCACACACACACGCACACGGACGTCGTGTTTCCGTTATCCAGGAAGAGAAGCGGCAGCTGCAGCCAGATAATGCTTCATGGCACTATTACACGTTTTCGCGCGCGAAGCGGCTTTATAACGAGGCGTGTGTAAGGTCATCGCAGTCGTTGTCGTCTGCGCGCAATTAGTGACTCGGTCACGTTTTCCGCGCGCCGGTGATACCGGAAATCGTTGGGACGTCGGCGCCTCGAAAATCCAGCGCGCTTCTTGTGTCGGCTGCGGCCACTGCTGATTTCGTCGGCAATCAGCGCGAGACTCGCTCCCCCCCTCCACCTTTCCGCCCTTCCGCCACCTCGCTTTGGCTGTTAATGAGGCGTTTTATCGGAATTTTAGGCTCTTTTAACTTTTTTTCGCGCGATTCTCGCTGCAGGCTGACATTCTCGAGCTACTGCTGCTCGTTGGCGCTGGTTAATAAAAAAAGCGAGGGAACGCGAGTAGACGAGAATGCGTCGGATGGCCGAAGGCGATGGTGGAAAGGCGAGCGGAGAGGAAGTTGGGCCCCGCGACGGGCTTTTCCCGAACGCGTCGCCGCGCGGAAGCTCGGGCACCGCGATAGCTTATCGGCGGGGATGCCCGCGGGGAATGCCTGGCGCGCGCGCGCGCGCGCGATAGAGCTAGCGGTGCAGCGCGCAACCGAGCCGAGCGCATAACGGGCCCGAGCATAATTCTCTCTCCGCGTTTGCACAACTCTCTCGCTCGCTCGCTTCTTCTCGCCCGGCGACTGGCTCGTGCGCACTTGCGCCGCCCGTCGAGACACACTCGTGTCCCGCAGCCGTTGCACCTGCACCGTAACTCAACCGACTGCGCGCGCGCGGCCGAGAATGGGACCGCGCGAACCTGCCATTGTTTTTCTCGCCTGCGATCCGACTTGCTCTGCGTATCGCCTTGACGGCTTTTCGATCCTTTCCGCGCCGGATCGAGAAGCATTTGCGAACGTCGAGCGGGACTGTACTGTGTCGCGCCTGTATAATTTACGAGTAGCAATTCCACGGGTACACGGCAGCGCTGACAAAAAGTGGAGAACAAGAAGCAGCCAGCCGGCGAGCAGTGCGAGACGTCCGCAGCAGTTATTACGGCGCGCCGCTTAATCCGAGCCGCGTCTCGCACGAAGCACGCGAATGAGAGCCCTCGGGCCACGCCACCAAGGACCGAGCGCGTTAAAGTTTCACGGGGCCGGCCCCTTGGGCCTGGCTAATTAGCCGCGGTAACCCAATGTCGCGCCGATTCGCCGATAATATTACAGGCGGCGCGAGAGCATGCAAGCAGGTAGCGCAACATGCAGAACGCTCAGCGAGATATCGAGCGGGAGGTGGGGGTAGTGAGAGGCAAAAGCCAGCGCTGGCGACGGCAGGCGGCTCTGACCGGTCATTCACTTAGCGGCGGGCGTAAAAAGCACGGCCGCCCCTCTCTTTCTTCCCTCGACGACTTTCACGTCGTCGTCGTCGTCGTCGTCGTCGCCGTTGACGTCCGCTCGCGCTAAAGGGACTCGGGCGATTCGCGCGATTTATCGAGCCTCTTGGCCTTGCGCCGAAACAGGTTGGCGCGCGACGGCAGCTCGCGCCGCTCTCGATTCGCTGCGCCTCGATTGGTCCGCATACGTACGCCTGCCGGGCTCGGAGCGCGCGCGAACATTTTTTGCGCCACGGTCTCGCTGCGGTGGCTCCTTTTTCTCGCCGCTTAGCAAGCGCCAAAGCGCTCTTGCATATTTCAACGAGACACAGTCGTTTTCGCCGTGTGCGGCAGCGATCGAGTGAGCTCGCCGAGTGCCATTGCTAAAAGGAACACGTCGAGGCTAGCCAATTGGCGCGGTTAGTTTAATCAATGCGACGCAGCGTCAAAGGACTGCGCAAAAACAGAGAGACAGAGACGGAGAGTGTGTGTGCGCGAACGAGAGGGCGGCCAAATTAGATTGATGCGCGAGAGTGCGCCGTCGCCGTCGTAGTAGTCGTCGCCGGCGCTTGCCTCAACAAAGCCATGATGGATGAAAGCATTGATGAGAGCCGAGTGCTCCTATCTCTCGGCCGTTCTCTGTCTCTCTCTCTCTCTCTCTCTCTCTCTCTCTCTCTCTCTCTCTCTCTCTCTTTTGCGCTGACTCGATTAGCGGGGAACGAGAACGGAAGAGAGAGAGAGAGAGAGAGAGAGAGAGAGAGAGAGAGAGAGAGAGAGAAACTTGCTGAATAATAGAATAAGCAGAGGGAGCCTGCATTATCGTCCTCCTGGCAGCGCGACACCGACACCGGATGCGCAAGCGCGACGAGCTCTGAGCCGAGGCATTATTTCGCCTCGGCTCACCTTGGAGTGCTAAGTAAACGCGGAATAATCGGCAGTCTCCGCTGCGTACGCGCGTACACGGCACGTACGATAGTATCGGTGACCGTTGAGGAAAACGCTCGGCCAAGCGCAACTCCAACTTTTACATGGCGAGAGCCATTTCGGAGGAAGACCACGTGGGCGTTTAAAATTGAGGAGGTCCCATAGCTTAATCAACCAGCTACACATAGTTAAATCCACGTCGGAGCTTTTTCTCTTTTTGTCGCACGTGCAACACTCGTGAATTTCCAGCAAATTAGACCGTCAATAATCTATGGTAGCTCGGTTGATTTTCAGGTGCGCGTGTCGAGCACCGTCATCCGCGGCCGCAGTCAGCACTTTATATTTAGCACTCGAGATAGAGAGAGAATGTGGATGTCGTTGAACCGTTATAGCGAATACGTTGCAGCCAATTGAGGATCGGTTTCATTAAATTAGCGGAGAATCGACGAAACGCTTAATACAGTTATCCGAAGTTAATGCCGGAGTGAAAACTTGGCTTGCCACAGTGGGGGTTTGCATACTTTACGAAGGTCTTTATTGATGGTTTGCAGCGAGTTAGCGTGAGGGAGAGACGACTGTACGCCACGCGATTGTAGACGCAGGGACGCTGGCGGAGCCGACGAGGCCGCTACGATGATTTCCTTATAATAACACGCCCGTGGAAAGCGAACAATTCGTCGTGAACTCTTTACGAGCGGCTAAACAAAGTGCGCGCGTGGCTGAACGAAAAATCGATGGCTTTATCGGGACGACGAGCCGTCGCCGGTTATTGGCACAACAAAATAAGGGGATCCACAAAGAGAGAGGGGAAAGAAAAAAACGAGAGAAGGAGAGTCTTTTTATAGCTCGCTCACGTGACGTCCAATCATAATTAGACGCTGCTCGCGTGACGTTCGCACTTTATTATCCCAACCGAGCCGAGAATATTTCCTCTCTCCCTCTCCGTTCTCTCGTGCTTTTTCCGCGACGCCCCGCGCAAATAATCAGATGTATCGGAGAAGTCGCGATAGAACGGCGCCGCGAGCGGGGGCGCGAGAAAGAAAGCCAGGCCCTCGATTGGTTCGCGACAAGGAGCAGTTCGGACGGCGAACGGGCGACTCGGCAATATCGGCAGCGCGCAGTCGAAAAACGCCAGGAAGGCTGTTGGCTATCGCACACCGGTGTGTACGTACGTCGTCGGCGATGCACGAGGGACTTTGGCCGCTCGCCGCTCGCGATTAGCGTGGTAATCAATCGATCACGGGCGCGCGGGCGAGAGCAAGAGGCAGCGCGCGCGCGCTGGGGGTCGTTTGGCGAGAGTACGAGCGCGTCGGCTTCGTTCCCCGCGGTCCATTACCTCTGGCGTTTTGCCTTTCCAACTTTCTCGCCCGGAAAATAAAAACACTTGGCGAGCTCGCGCGCGGGCTGCGCCTGGCGCTGTTGCAGCCCCGGCTCTGACCGGCGAGTCGAGCTTAATCAAAGGCCTCGTTCTTCTTCTTAAACGGCACTTGGATTAAGCTCAGACTCTCGGCTGTTGGAGAGCCGATTGTCCGGAATAAGAGGCGAGCAAGCAGGAGCTAGCAGGCTGCGTCGGGGGGAAAATATCGCGGAAACAATGTCGGTTTGCTCGGCAGCACAGCCGAGAGTTGCTCAGCGGAGAACAATGAGGGCGGGGCTCGCTCGCCGTTCGGAAACTAGCCTCGAAACTTGGCTGGCGTAATAATAAGAGACGGCCGGGGCGGGTGAAAAATAGAGATAGAGCCTGGCTCTCGAGCAGACGGACAACGAGCCAAAGAAACAGCTCGCCGGTCGGCTCTCCCTTTGTTTCCTCGCTGATTGCGATTCTGATTTCGCGAGGCGCATTCCGCCGGCCGAACTTCGATTGCGGCAGGCCGGCGGCGGAGCGACGTTTAATTTCGTTGCTCCTCGCCTGCTGCACTGGCCCTCGACGTTTTGCCCAGGGAAACCTTGCGCGGAGGCACTTTTTCCTGACTTATGGCTGTCGCGTCTGTCTTCCGGGCCGCGCTCCGCCACTCTCTCACTCTCTTTAATAAATTTCATCGAGAAAGAGAGGCCAGCTGATGCTCTCCGATACCAGGCTCGCGCCCCAGCTAGTTTTCAAACTTGCTCAAAGTTTCGTTCAACTTTCCGACATTTTTAGGGATTTGCCCTGCTCCTTTTCTACCTCCAACTCTCTATCTAAAATCGTCTTGTCATGCAAAGCTCAGCGGTGGCAGCGGACTTTAATTTTAGCGCAGATTACGGCACGTGAATATTAAATGAGCTGCGCGTGCGCAAGAATAGAACAAAGTTGCCGACTACATACCGCCAACTAAGGTTAATACGAGTCTATAGTCGACGGGGTTGCGCCGTGCAGGCAGATGTGTATATATATATACATATATATATATGTCTATACTTTGCGCGAATTTGTCAAGCAATTAAGAGGTCGAGACGCGGCGAAAGCACACGGCCGAAGGTCGGGAATCAGTCGTGGAGAGCCCCTCTCTCGCAATTACGCGCCTGCCAGTGGCCGCGGAACCGTTGCCTCGTCGCCAGCCGAAAGACAATTAGCTCGTGCTCGCGGCGCTTTCGATGGCGCGCGGCTCCGGGCTTCTCGCAAAAGTACGGTCAACCCGGCGGCAATCCGTCTCTAATTGACGGCTTACGCGGGCCGAGCGTCGCCCAGGAATTCGCGAGAACCGTTCGTTCCTTTCAGCCGCCGCTCGCTAATTGCGCGACGAGCGCGTCGGATTCCGTCGGCCAAGAGGCATTTCTATAATGGCCGCGCGTCGCGATCGGCATTGTCGGCTTGCGCAATGACGACGACGACGACGACGACGACGACGACGACGACCACGACTACGCGAGACCGGAGGCAGCCGCGCGCTCGTGGTTTTTCGGCCCCGCGCGACTCAGATACGCAGCGGCAACGGGCACGCGGGAGACAAGGGCTTGCGCTCTTGCGTTATTGTTTCTGGCTTATTAGGAGGGAAAATCGCTCGCTGCCGCGGCGTTGGTATGCAAAGCAGCCGAGCAATTCAATTGTAGCCGGCGCAAAACTTGCTCTCGCGATGGAACTTGCGCGCACGCTCGCTCTGTGCAATTTGCATGTATAACCTGTATAAACAGAATTCATGGCCTTTCTTTGGCGCAGCTCGCGCGCGCGCGCGCTAAGACTTATTTAACTTCTCGATGAATGTCGAGGCATTTACCACTCGTTACTCCCGCCACCGAAACTCGGTTGCAGGCAAGACGCACGTCTGCGCTTGGATTCCAAGTTGCTCGATTTGCTGTTTCGCAGCGAGCAGCCGATTGAAATGCGCGAAAAGGGAAAAAGAAACGCGGGGGAGGCGAGACGCCAGCGCCGCTGCGGCCAAGTTCGAGCGCGTCTGCGAGAAATTCGAGCGCCAGTCGCGTCGGCCGCGCGCCTCAAAGTTACGCAGCTCTCGCGTCGGCGAGGCGCGGTGCAGCAGCTGCGTAGAGGCGTGCGCTTCTCGGGACAAATCAGAGAAACGTCAGGCGAGCTTTAAGCGCTTCGGCTCACCTGACGCACGCCCGCAAGTCTGCGAGAGCCGAGTCCTTTAACGTCCCACCCTCCGTGAGCCTCCGCGCGCCTCTCCGGCTGCCGAAGCCAAGCGCCACAGCTCCATGAATATTCACGCGGAACTTGCCGCCTGATTGGCTCAGCGACGACGAGGAGGATGAGGAGGAGGAGGAGGAGGACGAGTAGGAGGACGAGCAGGAGGACGAGCAGGAGGACGCGCACGAGGACGACTACAACAGCAGCAACAATGGCAACAGAGCCAGCGCGTGGTGCGTTGTAAAAGCCGGCGTCGAGCTTTTTGCCCCCGCTAGTTTTCAATGGACAAGTGTCGGCGGCGGCCACGCAGCAGCAGGAGACTGGAACAAGAAGGAGGCGGCATCGAGTCGCAAAGTTGCAGCGCACCGGAGAAAAGAAGCGAGCGAACGGAGGCAGCATCCTGTGACCTTCTTGGCTATTCCGAAGTCGTTCCCTCGTTGGCGGCGCCTTATCTCCACTCTTTCGCTCTTCCTTTTTTTCGTTAGCTCTCTCGTCTTTTTAATCCCTCTCCGCCGTGGCGCTCCACTTTATCTATTTGCACGACGGCAGAGCGTCTTCTCCCCCTTTTTTGCTACACGCGGACGGGCGACTGGAGCTGGAATAAAGGAAATCCGCGCGGTCGCAAGAAAGCAGCTGGCTTATCGGCGGAGAGAGCGCCGCGAGGGAGCGAGGGGAGGCCGGGCCGACGTATCAAAGCGGCAAGCCGCTGGAAAAGGAGAGAAAAAAGGAAAACAGCGTCCCCCGGCGCTCCGACCAGCGACTCACTTTGGCTTATATAAATTTCCTTGATGTCGCGGCGGAGCGACGGCCTCGAAAACAGGAGGCAGAGAGAGAGAGAGAGAATCGCGCGCTTTCCCGGCGGAATTTCTCATTTGCTACGAGCACGGCGCAGCTTTCGCTATTTGTTTGTTTGGCAAGTCCTTAGCTCTGAATTATGCATGAGATGCCTTCTTCGCCTCGGCGGCTAAGAGGCAGCGCGAGCAATGAGGCGCGCAACGCCGCCCGAAATGGCGAGAGACAAGCGCGAGAGGGCGAGGTGGCGGTGGCCGCGACCTCGCCGCCGCAGCTGGCGCCCGAGACTAATCGCGCGATACGTTTGTTGCAGAGGCTGCAGTGGCCGAGCAGCGACGCGCACCAGGAGCTGTGCCACCTCAAGGGCGGCGACAAGGACACGTGCCAAAACTACGTGAGGGTGTTCGGCCGTCTGGGCCCCGACAGGTTCATGACCTGCGGCACCAACGCCTACAAGCCCCTCTGCAAGCTCTTCCGCATACAGGTCAGTGCAATTTTCCGTTATGCGCCCACTACGCTAAATTTGTCGCGCTGCCGGTGCGGCTGCTCCACGGATACTCGAAGCCCCCATGAATTATGCATTATTGAGAGAGCGAGAACGGTTCTTGCCTCTCGGCCCTTGGCGCGCCGATTTCACATTCAAATGTCGCCACTCCACCTCGCGCACTCGATCAGTCGTCCCCTACGTACGTCTCCAGCTTTCTTCGCCCGACTCGTTCGAACATTCTGCGCGCGGCTCGTCGACCTCGGCCGGAATCCAATAGACGGTGCGCCGACTTTTCTCCCGCAGCCAACTTGGATTCAATCAAGCCTCTCGTCTCAATTAAACGCGACCGTTCGGGCCGCGGCGAGACCGTAGAGGCGGAGAGGGGTCGACGCCCGCGTGCCAAGCGACGGAAGAGCCAAAAGCTCGTTTGGCAGACACGCGTCGGTCCGCGCGGCCGGCCAGGCGTGACGGGGCCAGGGCTAACGTCGCGCGAGTTCGGCCAGTGCACTTTTCGCTGGCGGCTCGCGCCTGTGCTCCGGTCGGCTCTCTGAATAATGCATCGGCCGAGCGAGCGGCCGCCGATAAACAGCAGCGGGCGAGAGCAGGGGAGACGCGCTGCGGCAGTCAAGTCGACGAGCTGTGAGTAAGGGATCTTCGCGTCTGGCGCACCGCGCGGCACCGCGCGGCACCGCGCGGCATCGCCGGAATCGCAATAAGCCGCCGAGAATTGCGCGGCTCGCGCTGGAATCGCAAGTGCGTCGCGTCGCCGTTGGAATCCCATTCCGCAGCTGGCGGAGACTAGAGAAGAGCGGGAGACAACCGTTTTCCAGGGACGCCTCGCGCGCTTGCAGCCGTTCGCGTCCGTACGAGCTGCCCGCCGAAAGCCATCGTCGAGCCAAAGCTGCGAATTGGATCGTCCTTGTAATCGTCGCTGATTGGCTTGACCGAGGCGGCCGCGGTCGATCGATCGATCGCTGGCCGTCGGGTTCGGCCGGCATCCGAACAAATCGGCGGCGATCGCCGGTGCTGCATAATCAGTCGGAATCGACGATCGGCGGCCGCTCGCCGTCGCGCCAGCCAGCGACGAGTACAGCGCCGCCCCCACCTTTAGTCTTCGTTTCCGCTGGAGCGCTTGGATGCCTCTCGGCGAACGGCCTGGCGGGTTTCTTATTAGCGGAATCGACCGATGATTGAGAGTGTGCGGCACGGCTAAGGCCAGCGCCATGAATAATCCATGAGTGTGTAGCCGTGGTAGAGAGAGAGAGAGAGAGAGAGAGAGAGAGAGAGAGAGAGAGAGAGAGAGAGAGAGCGAAATCTCATTTGCCGCAACAAGTCGGCGGGAGGGAGGTGGGGGGGGTCCGAGTCGATCCGCGGCGGAGCGCCGAAATGAGGACCTTTCAATTATTCGCTTCGCACGGCGCTCGTAATCGGCGAGAGCTTTTCCCGGGCAGAGCTGCAGCGAGGTCCGCACGAGTGGCGAGTGCCGCGCTGCTCTTCTCTGCCCGGCTACACTGCCAACGAGCGAATAAATCAGGCGTGGCTGGCTGGCTCCTTCCGCTACTTACTCGCCTCTCGCGCTCGCTTTATCTCCATCCTTCTTGCCGCTGCTCGGCGCGTCATTTCGGAAGCCGAGAAACAAAGCCCGTCCGCGCTCCTTCTTTCTGGAATTACGCTTTTTCAATTAGCCGAGCCGAGGCTTTTCCCAGGCGCGCCTTACACCTCCAACGGAGAGCCTTCTTTTCTGCCTCTCCTTTGCCGCCGCCGCCGCCGCCGCCGCCGCCGCCACCGCTCTCCCCTCGGCAAGAAAGCTCGCTCGTCAAACTTCCTCCGCGCGCTTCCGCCTCGAATTACACTATTGCATTAGAGCGAGCAGCGAGCAGAAAAGGCGCTTAGACTCGCGACCGGCTTTTTATCTGCCTTGCGCGAGCAGGCCAGGGCAAACGCTCGCCGGTTGCTTTGACGAATAAGTCGTGTACGGCGAAACGGGCTCGCGGCAACGATAGGCGGCGCGCTCTTGTGTCGCGCGTCGAACGTCGACGTAAGAGGCTTTCGAGTCGCACGCTGATTAGCGAGCGAGTGCGCAATTTCAGGACACTGTGATTCCGAGGGGAGCGTATCTTGGCGGCGCCCTCCTGCCCGTCCCCGAGAAAAATTCATTGACCTCCGCGTCGTCGAACGCGCGCCAAATGATCGAGCGTGTACGTGCGCGCGGTCGCCGCTTGATTAGCAGCGCAAGGCCAAGAAAAGAAGTTTGATGAGTTTGCAGGCGGCGACGAGCTAAAAGAAGAAGAAGAAGAAGTAGAAGAAGAAGAAGAAGAAGAAGGAGAAGAAGGAGAAGGAAATCGATGCCGACGGCGAAATTTTTATCGGCCTCATTACGTACACAGGCGCGCTCGCAAGCAAGCAGAAGTTGACTTGGCCTGAAATACCGATAAAATATCATTGGAGGGGCGGAGGGGCAAAGTTTGCCAAGCGGTACGCTGGCTGCTCGGCATGCGCCGCCTACGCGACGACAACCGACACTGCATCTGTACGTCGGGGTATTCCAGTCACGTGGCTTAATGCACAGAGAAAGCCTCTGCCCCGTCGATTTTGCTTCGGCTCTCTCTCTCCCTCTCTCTCTATCTGCCTCTTTATCCCCGAAATCCATAAAGAAGCCAGCTTCGATTTCTCCTCTTCGGCTTTTCCTCGCCGACGAATATCAATCTGTTTGGCTTAAATAACTTGTAATCTGCATTTTTCCGCTCCTCTTCCCCGAGGACTTGGCTCGGGAAGCGGGCGCCGGCTGAACTGCTGGATAAATTGTATTGGAACGTGATCGCTCATACAGACGTCGGCTGCTTTCTCTCTCTCTCTCTCTCTCTCTCCCTCTCTCTCGAATTTCTCACCCGGTATCTTTTCCAATAAACTTTTCGCGCGCGCCGAGCACTCTTATCGTCGCCGGTCGACTTGGCGCTCCTTTAAGACGATTCGAAAACGAGAAAGAGAGCTTCCCATTTTTTTTCACAGCCGCCCCTCGTTCGAGTCGATTATTCATGAGCCGCAGCGACGTTTTCATTTATTTGGAATTTAGTCCCGCCTCGGCGATAGCTGTATCGGCGCACTTCTTGCCGTGGCCTCCCGGCAGATAACGGCCGAACGCGCTCCTCTCGCCGAGCCGTAAATCGTTTAGCGCCGAGAGAACGACTCGACAGCGCAGTCAGGAAAGAGAGAGAGAGAGAGACGCAAAGCTCGCTCCCTCGAATTAAGTCGCGCGCGCTCGCGGCCAATTGACAAACGCAGCTGGCGCGCGCACAGTTGCGGCTACTGGGCGTGCGTCGGAACGAGCTCGCGGAGAACCGGGTCAAAGTTGAGCAAGCAGTCGCGGACTGATGTGACTTACTGCCGGGGATCGAGCAAAGTCTCTCTCGCTCTGAATTATTTCCGAGCTTTTTCCACCACCCGATATTCGATGATTTATACGGCCGACTGAATTGCGAGCTTGTTTTTGCCGGGCCGACAAATGCCCTCTCGGTCGACGACCTTCTCCTGCGCTGCTTCCGCGCGTCGGGGCGCGACTCGGACGGGGACGGCCGTCGCCGAGAGCGTCGACGCAGTATGCACGCGTTGATCGCAAGCCGCACACGAGAACGGCCGGGAAGCGTTGGTCCGCTTTGGCTAAGCGAGCCGCGTCCGCCGAAAGTCGTCGACGAGTCGGCTTCGGCGGCGGGGCGTGGTTGCGCGGCATTGTCCGTAGGCAGGCGACGCAACCGCTAAAGCTCAACGATCTCGCGCAATCGTAAAGGCGCCGCGCCGCGGCTGCGATCTGGAAATTCGGCCGGATGTGCGTTAAACGAGTATCCGGCGTCCGGGCTTTTTCCGCGACATCGGCAGCGGCAACAACAAGTCCCATTTGGACGAGCGACTCGCACCTACACGTCCGAGCGCGATAAGCGCCGAGAAATTATTTCACGGATTATCGAGTTCTGCGCGAGACCGTGGGCTCTCGCCGCTGGAATATTCCTCGGAGGGGAAACAATGCCGCGCGGCGATAGATCGATGCCGGGTAATCCGGGTCGCTGAACTTGAAGCGCGCGCCTCGCCATCTTTTTTGCCGGCCCACATCGCAGCCGCGCGACGCTCGTCCTTTTTCTTCCTTTGTGTCCGGGCCGAACTCGGCGCGGCAATGTGTGCCGCGCGGCGTCGCGCAACCGTGACTTCAATTATTCGCGGCTGCGAGCGCGCCCCGCGCGGGCTATTCCGGGAGTCGCGCGACCCGATGAATCAATAATCACAGCTGAGGCTCGTTTTTTATTCGCCGGCTGCAGGCGCGCGTGTCAAGTTCAGCGGGTCGCGTTCGTCATTATTCATCAAGCTGCCTTCGGCGGATAAGCCCTTTGTGACATTTCGAGCGGCTGCCTCCTGCCTCTCTCTGCTCGTCGCGCCTCGCACGTCACCTCTGCATATCCCTCGCATATTTTATTCCCGGACAGTCCGACGGTCGCTTAATTATATTGTCAAGCCATACGGCCCGGAGTAAATATAATCCGACTGTGCGCCACGTGCGTCGGGCCGTTCGTGATGCATGCTCTCATTGTCATGCGAGCGCGCGAGGCCGGGCCGGCAATCGGAAAAAAAACGCGCGCGTGCTGCTGCTTCCGGACATTTTCGTCGCACGCGTCGATGGAAATATCCTCTTTTTTTCGCGACGGCAAAAGCGCGGGGCAGAGGGAGAAACGCCAGTCGCATCGGATTTTGCCGAAGCGCGAGCTCCGGAACGGGCCGTGCACTCGGGAACAATGTGCGTAATGAGTTTGGCCGGGGGCGTAATCCCCGCGCAGTCGTGCTCGCTCCGCCGATACGGACTATCATTTGATCCCCGCGGGAGGCGGCGCGACGGAGGAAAAAAAAGGGGGACGGGACAAGCGAAAAGCGGGGGTGCCGCCGCGCGAAAGCAGCTCGTAAGCGGATCGCGAAAGCTCGTCGGCGGCGATCGCGCGCACGCGTCGGCCCGGGCG